AACAAAGTACTAATTTTGATTTCCATATTTTATTTAAGCTTTCTTAATGATGGGCATATTTGTAGACAGTCTATTATCTTCCTGCTGAGTTCCTCGTCCGCCTGTGCACCAGGGTGAAGCTAGCCTCATGAACTGAGTTGGCAACATTGTCTCTCTTCCTACAAGCCAGGACCATGTAAATGACATGGGAATGCTCTCTTTACTAGAGGCTCAAAAACCTCTTCCAAAAACCCATTGGGTCCTGGTGCTCTTTTTAGTTGCTGATTATCTGCAAGATTTACTGAATTCTTTCACTACTAGCCTCCAGTTTTCAATATCTCTTTAGTCCACTTCTATTACTCAGGTATTTTGGACATATTCTTTGTACTGGATGCTATGCTATAGTCATAGATTTTTGCCTATTTAATTTCTACATTTGAGAATTTATTGAGATTTTCTTTGTGATGTAGTATACTAATTATTTTTATAAGTGTTTGCTGCATTTTTGGAAAAAATTATATCTTCTTGGGCATTATAAGGTTTGATACATAAACATGGTTGATAAAATAACCTTGTTAATTTATATTACTCAACCCATTTGTAATTACATATTTTTAGCCTAATCATCCAGTCTAATAATTTAGTCTAATGATCATAGCTGTGCTTTTGTTAATATATCCCTGTACATCTAATAATAATTGTTATTTATGTATTTCAATTCTAGGTCACTTAGATTGTATAGGCTCATAACTATGATAGCTTTCCTGTGGATCATTTCTTTCTTTCCAATATTAAAATTTAGTTTTGCCATAAGTTGTTATTCCTGGTGTTAGATGTTTGGTAAACCTAGTTTCCTTTTCTATTTTTTCCTCATTTCTTCAACCTTCCCTCCTATACTCTTTTCTTTTCTCCCTTCCTTCCTTTTTCCTTCTTTTCCTTCCTTCCTCCTTCCCTTCCCTTCTTGCTTTCTTCTTTCCTTTCTCTCTCTTTCTTTTTCTTTCCCTCTTCTTTTTTAAAGTTTATAATATAAAGTTGATAATGCAAATGTAATCATTCTCACTTTCTGTTCTTCTAACTTCTTGTTTTTAAGCCTGTACCTTTTGAAATTAAAATTTTATTAATTTTCTTCATCCAATATGAGACTCTTTTATTTCAATAGGAGTGTTTAATTCATCTATCTGTAGTGTAATGAATACTAATTTTCTTTTGTTAATTTGTCTTGTGCTTTCAGTGTTTTATGTTCCCTTTTACTATGTTGCTTATTTTCTTTCCTATATATGTTTTTCCCTAGTGTAGCATTTTCTAAAGAAATTCTGCAAATCAATTGTTTGAGGAGATGCTAAATGGATGCTTCAGGAAAAAATGCATAATACATTCCATGATTAAACAAGACAGTGAAACATCTGGGGATTGTTTAAAGGGAATCCACAATAAATGTTAAAATAGTAGAGTTCCTAAGAATCTCAGCAACTAAGCAATCTGTTTAGCTATGTTTAATTGGAGTTCACAATCTTATCTGAACATAGAACACATTTTTCGTAATACATTGAGGGACATCCTATGGAAGAGCAGTCGTAGGATGCTGGCTTGGGAAATGCATGCCTAGTATTTGGAACTCATGCATCCTACTTTATTATGTCATTGCTCACCTTTAACTATTCCCAGCCTCATTTCTGAGCTGGTCTCCTCTTTTGTGTGTCCCTTCACCTGGACTCTTCAACTGATAACTGGGATTTACTGCTGCTCATGACCTGATATCACGGTGTAATTCTATTACCATTATAGTTTGCCAACTGAGACATTTTATTAGCAAATGATTAAATTGAGCTATTGGAAGAGAAATTTATAGTGACAACCATAGCTTGGCCTCAGGTAGGTGCTCAAATTGCTATGGGCGGGGAAAGAATGTCTAATGGATGGCAAAAGAGAAAACAGATGACCTGAAGTCTGCAGGAAGATGGGCAGGAGATTTCTACCTAAGACATGAGATTGGCTTTAAAAAGAGCAAAGCAACGTCATCACATTAGGTTAGCAGTTTTATTCCAAGGACTTCAAAGAACTTCAAAGGCTCCATGACAAAAGTATTTTATTAGAGCCAAAAATTAACACATTTGCTTTGAAACAACTATCAATGGTTTGATGGTTTACGAATGTTCAAAGAAATAGAATACCATAACATTTGTAGGTTGATCTATGAGATGAAACTGGTTAAGAACTAAGGAAAAAAGGGTTCTGGTGACAACTTGGCTAAACCATTTCGTTACTCTCAATTTCAGTCACTGTAGCGGCAGAATGAAAGCAGAGAAGTAGCTGAAGTAATTCAATGATTCTTATGTCCTATAAGGAAGTCTACATACCCAAGGATATGAGTTTTGGAATGTTGTTATTTCAAACAATGTCAGAATAAACACCCTTGTACTGTCTCCATGTGTGTGTTTTAGAGTTTCTCTTGGGGAGTACTGGTTGTACCCCTTTCGAGGGTTATGAAATAAATTCAGTCACTACCAACATTTTTTTAAAGAAAGATGATAGAGCAGTATAAAAATAACATGATTAGATCATATGTAATTAAAGATAATGAATGTTTCATGAAATTATGTTTTATTTATAAATGCATGTATATATATATATATATAAGACAACCCACTATATATATATATATATATAGTGGGTTGTCTTGTAAAAGGTACTTTCTACTGTGAGTTTTTAAAAGACAGTTTGAAACACACTCCACTGGCAGTAATTATCTAGGATGTATTTGATGAGTCAAATGCTGTCTTCATATTTAATTTTACTAGGTATGGCAAAATTTTCTCCACAGTTGGTAGTATCTATTTACATTCTCATCGGCTGCATTTAAGAGCTTGAATCTTCACTAACAGTTATTTTTTTCAGATGTTCTAATCTTTTTCCAAGCTAAGTGACATAAAACAGAATGCCATTGCCGTTTTTATTTTCCTGATTGTTAGCAAAGTTGAGTAACTTTTCATGGCTTTATTGGCCATTGAGTCTCCTATTCATTGATTTAGTTGTTCATAGCTCTTGTCAGCTTTTGCACTTTTTTGTTCTTTTCATATTGATTTAGAGGAGTTTAAAAACATACTCTGGATACTTCATGAATTATATCCACTGCTAATATCTTGTCTGTTGCATTAAGATATGCAAAACTTGATCATGTCTTGCAGTTCAGAAACTTTAAAATTCAAGGTGGACAGATTCATCAATCTTTTTTTTATGAGTTGTGCTTTCCCAGTCTTGTTTAATAAATTCTTCCCTATTCCAAGTTCATAAAAATATACTTTTATATATTCTTCTAAAAGTTTTAAACTTTTGCTTTTCAGATTTATGTCTTTATCCCATCTGGAGAGGATTTTTGTGCATTGTGTGAGGCAGGGATCTGCTTTTCCCCAAATGGATACCAATTCTCTCAATGCCATTTATTGAATAATTTATTCTTTACTCAGTTGTAAAGTGATCTTTCTCATACACCAAATTCCAGAGTATATGTAGCTCTGTTTGTTATCAAAAAGACCGATACCTTACAAAGTTGACCATATTTGCCATTAGACACTCCCTGAAAACTCCTTGAAATTGTTTTGAGAAGATGATTTTGCAAGTGATGATAGCCTTGTACTAATACTTGAAGGGTTAAATTATCAAGAAATAAGATATGCAGGTTACATGCATTAAATAAACAAAATATAATATCTTCTATATAAAAGGTATTTTTTTATTAATTAGTGATAACGATATAAATATGACTGTTGTCCTCAAAGAATAAAAAAGATCTTCAAGATCTTCACGGAAGTTACGGTCTGGTATAACACTTTTCAATCTTATCAACTCCAGCACTTTTTCAAAAATAACATTTTGTAATCACCTCATTACTATCCTGAATTTTATTTTTATTTATATAGCTAATATAAGCCACATGTTCACATATCATAACATCAATAAAATAGCTTTTTGTAATATTTGTGAAAAATAAAAGTGCTGTATAAGGAAATAATACATGTTTCAATCTCTACTGCACAACTTTACTATAATAAAGTAGTCAAACACCCTATACATAGAATAACCTTGAACATGACAGCTACAGGTATAGGCTCATCTTATTTTGTTGCTATTTTTTGTTGATTCAAATATCACAAGAAGCGTTGCTGATGAAATAGTGAACAATTAACTCTGTTTTGAGTAAAAAAAAGTGCAAATCTTCCCTTGATTTACATAGTAGTTGCATTCCTAGAAAATTCATGTATATGAATACGTGGAAATTTACTCAATACACGATGCGAGGTTAGAGTATAGGCTGGAAGGAGCATAAGCTGGGTTTTCATCTGTGCTGACATCCAGCTGAGCATTCAAAATGCAAGAGCTGTGAGGGGCACCTCTCTCTGTCGGCCTGACCTTGGCCGTGCAGGCTGTTCATCCTTCCCGGCTCTCCCCCGCTATGTGCCAGCGGCACCCTCCAAATTATTATGACAGTCACAAAATGCCTCCTCCTCACCCACCAATTCCCACAATGCCACCCAGAAGATGGTATTAATATTATAACTGTCGAACAGCACTGGTCTAGAAGCAAGAGATTAAAAATCTAAGCAAGGGAAGGCAAACAAATACCCAAAGTGCCGCACTACCTGCACACTCCGGGCGTGGGGGGTACGAGAGAGGAGAGGCTGGGCCCCCAGGGTGGGCCCCCAGGTGTGGTCGCGATGGCAGTGCTGACAGATGGCAGGACTTGCGGCAGGAGTGACAAAGAGATGCTGCTGCTCCACTGGCTGAGCCTGCAGAGCGGGGGGAGAGCACGCCCCATTTCTCTGTAAGGGAGCCCCTCCTGGGGCGCTGGGTGGCCGTGACGCACGGCACAAACGAGGAAGAAGATCATACACACAGAAGTGTCACCAAGGCCAGCCTCCACATTTCCCCTCCCGGGATTCAGAGAATCTTGTCGTAAGTAGATTACAGTGCAGGCAGAGAAGATCCACCATTGCTTTAAGCTTGAGGAAACATTTTTTTTTGTTTTTTTTCCTGTGAAACGTATACACCAAGATATCTCTGAAGTTTTTTCTCTGCATCACTTGCCTCGATCCATTAACTGGCAGCTTTACCTCAACTATGTCTCTTAGGAATCTGCTTTGTTAACACATCTCTCTTTTTAACTGGTGTCTACAAAAGGAAAGAGAAAAAATGATTTAAATCTTTGAAGCAGCCCACTCCTTATATGACCCTTTAAAGGCCATTTTCCGCTGGTATATTTATTGTAGCATCAATAGGCAAGTGATAGGAGAGAAATGGATACGGAAGACTTAGATGAATTATCATGTAGAATATTCTCTGTATAGATTTATTAGTATAACCAGAAATTTCACAGCTGGAACATGCTGTACCAAATAATGCATTCCTTTACCTCCAGAGAGGTAACAGTAAACCAAAATGATATCAGGTGAAATACGTATTACTTGGAGAAATTTTGTCACTAACCAAGGCAATTCTTGCCAGTATTTAACTGCTCAAACATAATGCCCCTCATTATAACTCCCTTCACACACTTTTTCCCTGCAATTGCTTCATATGAATTCTGAATTCCATTCAACCTGGGCCCATGATATTAAGGATAGCATGATGAATGTTTGCTAAATTGAAGGATGAATGAATAAATGATTGACTCTAAGAAATGACATAAATGCGTGCGGTCTGTTAATTCATTCTGCTGCTGTTATTTCAGCCTATCATCTTATGCAGATCCCTAACCTTCATCATCTAAATCCATGAGGAAGGCTCAGTGAGACCTTAAAGCAAGAAGCTGTCAAGCTAGGAGGAATGGAGGTGAGCCTAAATCACAGCAGGTGTGGTCAGCACTCAGTGTCGCCATCCGTGGTTTTCTCCACCACCTCCACGCCCGTCCTGAACTATGGGGCCCACCTGAGGCAGGTAAACACCACCTACTATCTTTGCCTACATGAGAGGACTCCTGTAAAGGGAAAAACAACTAATGTCGTTCAAGTTATCTCTTAAACTGTAAAGTGCAGCTGTTTACTGTCTGGTATGTGCCAGGCACACGCTTATATGTTTAGAATATGAACAGGACTCCATTTCTTTCCTAAAAGAGTTGACAATCCAGTGCAAATACCAACACATAAAAATTCACCATAGTTTCAGGACAGAAATAGGCTCTGAGATACCTATAAAGGCACTGCCTTAGTCTGCTCTGTGCTGCTGTAGCAGAACTCCTGAGACTGGGCAATTTATAAAGGGTAGACAGTTATTGCTCACAGTCTGGGAGCTGGGAAGTCCAAGAGCGACGGGCACCTGGCGTGTCGTGTGTGGTGAGAGCCTTCTTGCCGCTTCCTCACATGGCGAAAGGACGAGGGAGACAAACGTCCTCTGTCAATGCCCTTGATAAGGGCATCTAATCTCATTCGCTAAGAAGCCCTTGACCTAATCACCTCTTAAAGGCCCCGCTTCTTTATACTATCACTTTGGCAACACCTGCATTTGGGAGAGGGCACATTGAAACCCTAGCAGTGACTGCAGTCTACTCAGTTCCAAGATCTGCGTATAGTTACACCTGGAGGGCGTGCTATAAGACAATCCGTGCATTTGGTGATAATGGCTAGTGGAAATGCATGATGGAGAGAACTGCACAGAGTTTCACAACATTTTAATATGCAATGAACTCTGAAGGATATACCTGAGGTTCAGAAATCAAGTTCGATTCTCCTCGCAAACAAAGCACTGGCACCCGAACCAGGAGGCAAAGCTAATGGCTCGCTCGGGCCTGGCTTGGTCGTGTCCTTGTTTTTCCCCTTGTCTGCACTGTGCTGGAATGTTGACTTCTTGCTAAAAGGTCTCATTGAAAGCTTCCACCTTTGCTCATACGCTTACTAAAAACACAGTCTTTACTACATAATTTCTTTCAAAGTCTTTCTTTCCCTTTAATACCCTTCACAAACGTCAACTTTAGCTTTTCACCTCTCCATAATCAGAATGTTGCCTGTTTGCATCTGTGGCCTTTTTGGGTAACTGTGCTCTGATAAATATGCTTGTTGATAATTCCTTTGCTGAAGGAGTGGGTATTTAATTGACTTCAAACAGAGAAAGCGCCAGCTCAGGGGCCATGGTTTCTCAATGTCAAGAGAAGGAAAATACCTTAGCGATGCTGAGAATTCTACCTGGAAACCGTTTGTGTTTTTATTTACTTCAAATACCTTTTGGGAATAACCGCTGCCCTTCTCCCGCCCTCGTTACCTGGAGCGACGCCAGCCGCGAATGCACGCGCTGATGTCCTCCCGTGGTAGAGACGGGCACGGAGCTGTCGATGCTGGGGTTTGGGGCTAGAGGGTTTTGTAGATTTGGGGTTACAGCTGCTGTTTGGGGACCACCATCATGGCTCCACATGCATAGGTGACTGCACAGCAGGCCCGGTCTGCAGGGGGAGGAGAATGGCATGAGAGATGACTGGGAAAAAAAAATAGAAGTTGCCAAAGAGCTGCTCTGTTTCTTGTGGCTGTATTTTCTGTGGTTGTTTGCTGTGAGATTTCCCTGATTCCTTATGTTCTAGAGCTGTAGCTTACACATGCAAACACACGGTGCTGAATAAAAGTCACTTTGATTTTTGTTTAAATGACTTGCATGGTCTTCTCCAGAGCCTGCACCCCACAAAATTTGAGTGGTACCTTCTCAGAACAGTTTTGCGTTTTCTTTCTTTCTTTACTTACTTACTTATTTTAGGTTTTAAGACAACTGCTCTGTTTTTAAGACCCTGTGTATCTCCCACTTTTTCTGAGTACACGAGGAAAATTATGATGTGCTCACAGCACGTGTCGGGGGCAGGGGATGGTGGCTTCAGCTGAACAGGGCTGGGTTTCAGATCCACCTTACTAGTTGTGTATGGTGCCATCTGCTTCCCACGCCTCTGCGGCACTGGAGGCCCGAGTGTGCCTGTGGCTCCTCGCGTCTGCAGCTAGTGAGACTGGGGTCTCTTCTCTCGCTGAGATCAAGGCCACCTCCCATCCCAGGTGGTTGCTGCACATCCTTCAGTGACGCACAAGACCTAAGAAAGCCTGCCATGTGCTGGCTTACCTGTTGTCAGTGGGCATCACTGCCAACCCCTCTGAAGGTTTGTTTTGTACAAGGACAAGCTAGAAACCACATTTTATAAAAGCCCCTCTCCCATAATGGTCCAGGGTAGAGTCTGCTAAAGAGAGACACTCACGGGCGATTTGGAAGGAGGGTGAGAAATAAAGTCATCACTTTCCAGGGGTGGTTTCAGCCAGACACGTGGGCAGGTGTGACACACGCAGTGCCCTCCCAGCGCACTCTCGAGAACCCCCACCTTGGCGTTTCTGGCTGAAATCATGGGGGGTTGTCTCAGCTCAAGCGGGAGGAGAGCAAACTGACTCCATCTCGCATGCTGACCTCCCGTGTTGACTTCTAATTAACCCCAGTCCCAGGAATGCCTCCTGATTTCTACTTTATTTACTGTCTTCAGTGTAAGAACATGTACTTACCATAAATTCTGCTCTAGATCAAAGTAACCTTGATGTTATTGCACAAATTACAGGTTATCATGTGCACAGTGTTCCTGCTGTCCTGAGGGGTTCTCTTTAATTGCGCAGTAGAGAGCATGTGCGCCTTCTCCATGTGGTGTAGAAGCCCTGGGTATCGGGGTAACAGTGTGGGGATCTATTGTCTCGGGGCTATGAAATGGCTTCCATGCGAAGTTCCTATTAAAAGTTTCTTTCTGAGAAACTGGATTGGTCAGCCTCTTTCTTCGGCCTCTCAGCTGCATAAACCTGCTCACTACAGAAAAATAAGCTGCTATAACAAAATACCACAGGCTGGGTGGCTTAAACGACAGACATGTATTTCTCACAGTTCTTGAGGCTGGGCCGTGGCGATCAAGGTGTTGGCGGTTTCAATTGCTGGAACTCCTGCGAAGGCCCTTCCTGGCTTGCAGATGCGACCTCCTGCCTGTGTCCTCATGTGCATGCACAGAGAGTGACCTCTGGTGTCTCTTTCTCTTCTTATAAGGGCACTATGCCATCTGGGGGCCCCACCCTCATGGCCTTGTGTGAACCTAATTACATCCCGAAGGACCCAACTCAAACACCATCACGTCGGGGGTTAGGGCTTCAACTACAGATTTGTTTGTGGGCAGCACCAACACTCAGTCCACAAGAGAGATTTCTTCTCTTTCTTTCACATTCCCAGTTCTTCCAGGGGTTAAGACCCCGAGTCCTTTTCTGAAGACCCCTAATGCCCCAAATGCATAAAGTACCATCTGTTTTCTTGACCTAAGCTTGACTAATTAACACCTGTAGTCTCTTCTGAGAGACCCAGTGGGAAATTGGGTCAACACTTCTGTCTTTGGTTTTGTTTCCCTTCCTGCATGTCTCCTCCCTCTGCCTAGAATGAAGCTGTGTCAAACATGCCACCATTTCTCCGCGCTGTCCTTCCCCCTCCCCTCCCTGTATGGTTGGAGAGGCACGCTTTTACTCACTACACATAATACCATGTAGTCATAGTACACCGCCTTGCTCAATAGTAAAAGACACTTAAATAATCAACAAAGGGGCAGGTGTGGTGGCACACGCCTATGTCCCAGCTATTTGGGAGGCTGAGGCAGGAGAATCGCTTGGGCCCAGGAGTTGGAATTACACTGAGCTATCATTGAGTTGCTGCACTCCGGGCTGGGCGACAGAGTGAGAGCCTGTCTTTAAAAAAGCAACAAAATAGTCAAGAGAAATAGTCAACTAGAAATAACTACACTGGGGAAGGCAAGAAAAGAGATGAGTAATGACGTAGAGTGAAATTACCAGCTACCATGGCAGAGGGTAATGTCTAAAATTGATAAATCAGTAAAGGATAATATGAACATGCTATTTAGAAATGTTGAATTAATTACCAGATTCAACTGAAAGAGTTTAAAATGGTTGACTCTGGGCATAAAGACTAAGAAACAGGGAGAGATCAGAACAGAGGATGGTTATTTTTTATTTTACACCTTTTGATAAAATTTTATTTATTGGTCATGTATATGTATTACGTCAATTAATTTTTTTTTAATGAAAATCAGCAGGTAGTTGGTGGCGCTAGAGACAAGAAAGGGAAGCAGCTTTGCAGGAGAAATCTGAGTCTAAATGCAGACTGGTGGCGGCCGGTCCCAGGGGACCAGCTGGGGAGGGGAGGTGGCACCAATACTCCCAAGTGCACAGATGAACCTGCGCAAACCGCAAGAACAGAGCAAACGGCGTTCCTCAGCTCGCTCCCAGCCACCGCCAGCTCCAAGAGCTGACTTCCGGCCCCAGGAAGGGAAGCTGTCTTTCAAGGCTCTGTCTCCGTTCCTCCCAGAACACACACAGACGCTGTGGGAAAGCCAAGACAGACCTCGGAGAGGAGGGACCCTGCCCGGACGGAGCGCTCAGGGCGGAGGCTGGCCAAACGGACTGGAGCAGGGTGACCGCCTGAACCGAGGGTGGCAGTGGGGTCGGGGCTGACGGCTGTGCGACGGGGGACAGGCGCAGGTGCGGGCGAGGTGGGCGGGGCGGGGAGGTGCCATTCCAGACAGGTGAGACTTGGCGGCAAGGGCAGGCTGCTGGAAGGTTGGGGCTGCGTGTGGCCACGTGGTGACCGAACACGGTAGATAGCCGCTTGCTCAGCCACGGAGAGAAAAGCGGCAGCTGCCTGCGTCCTCTGTGGCGTCTGCCACAGCCAAGTCCCACTGAGCGGGCGGCCTAAGCGACGGAAATGTGTTTTCTCGCCGGTCTGCAGGCTGGAAATCCAAGGTCAAGGTGTCAGAAGGGTCGTTTTCCTCCCAGGCCTCTCCACTTGACTTTTCCCGGCGTCGCCACGTGGGCTTCCCGCTGCGAGTGTCCACGTGTGTCCCGATCTCTCAGTCTCCGCTCTTATGAGAACACCAGCAATGTTGGAGTAGGTCCCACTCTAGCGACCTCATTTTAATTATCTCCAAACGCAGTCGCATTCTGAGGTGGGGGGGGTTCAAACTTCAGTATACAAATTCGGGGGGGACACAGTTCAGCCATCGCAACCATAAGGCCACCTCTGATGTGACCTGGCATTTTCTCTCCCCCAGCTTCCAGATCTTCTGTGCATCCCAGTGCACTGGTCTTGCTAGTCCCTGTCTGTGTCTGTCAGCCCTAATCCTGCTAAACATTACTAGGCTTCCCATTACTAGGCTTTTTGTTTTTTGCGCATAAAATGTCATCAAAGATGCAACATTACAATCGCATGCCACATGGTTCTTGCTGATTTTGCACCTTGAGAAAACTTTCCTTAAAGTGAAATCCATTTGTGACATCGAAATAATGAAATAATCCTTAAATCCTGTTGCATATTCTATACATCCTAATTAAAAATAAAACTATGTGTAATTTCTAACTATAAAAACAATAAGAAACCTTAAACATTTTTTATATCTTCAGAACTAGTGTTTGTGATCATAGGGTTGCTCCTTGCTGATGAGGGTGGTGGTCTAAGCCCTGGGTGTCCGTGGGGCCTCGTGGGAACCCAGGCGGAGATGAAGACCAGTGGCCTAGTCTCCGCCTGCATTGATTGGCATGGAGGTGGTACAGCCAGCTACCTTTTCCATCTGTGCCCTTCACAGAAAATGGTTACAGCATATTTTCTTTAGGTAACATGCTACACAAGACTCAAGATGTGCCTTGCACATCGAAAGCTTTAAGAATATTTAGTTTACATTAATATAAGCTGAATATATTTTGCTCCGTATGTTCTTGCATCCACTGGAAACAAATCTATAACATAAAAAAATAAAGTTTTCAAAAAATTATTATCTATTTTGGCCTACATCGTTTCCCAAAGTATAAGTCAGGCATGTGTCAAAGCCCCTCAGGGTCCCGTGGGCATTCGGGGGAAGGTCTCAACATCACCAAGGAACTTTCTTCACATCGGAGCGGTGGCGTCCTCCCCCACCCGTGCCGTCAGCATCCAGGTGAAACAAAGGCATTCCGGAACCAGCCCTGCCACCGGCACCCTGTGAAATGTTGACAAAAGCAATGCATAATTATGAGCCTGGAATGTGTTCCTATTTAAGTTAGCATCAAGGTGACAAAAAGCGCTATTTTTTTTTGAGGAAACAAATGCATGAAACCTGATGGAGAGAAGGTGGGAGTGTGAGTCTGCCTTCCACCTTGGGCCAAGTGCTGAATGGATCTAGAGGAACATCATTAATATGGTACCTTGGTACCCCAAAAGCAAAATCTGAGCAAAAGCTGGGACCTTGAGACTTTGCAAAAAATTAATGTTTCTGTCTTCTGTTGATGTTGGTTAGTCAGACTTTTGACAGGTAGAGAGAAAGCACATACTTTTTAAATGACTCAAATTTTTGGATTTGGAAAAAGTGAAGCACCAATGGAATGACTTTTATCTTAAGAAGACTTGACATTTATTTTAAGTCTCAGGTGACATTTTGAAATACAGGTTTTGAGTCTTCTCGGCGCTTCCATTTTTCAATAAGTCAGTCTTCTGCTTCCTCCCCTGGACAGGGCCACAGCTTATCTTAGAAAACTCAGGAAGCCAAATCCATGTCCAGTTTTTTTTGTTGTTGTTGTTATTTCAAGCAATAGAATTATATCCAACCTTTCTTAAAAGGGGATCAATAAGGAAATGGAAGCTGACTGCTCACAGGAGTGGGATGTGCTGCCCCAACCTCACAGGCCTGGGGAAAGAGTGTGGCGCAAACGGGGCAGGTGCCTCCCTCCCTCGCTGCGCCCGCCACAACCCCGGGGCCTGTGTCTTCATGGTCTCCTCACAGATACGGCAAAAGGAGTTACTCAAAAGTAATTCATGAGCCCGACTTCAATGAATTTTGTGACTGCAAACAATATAACCCCCTCACCAGGTTGCCATGGGGATAGGAGCTGGCTTGTCATCTCAACACACATTTGAAGCAATACCGGATTTACCAAAAAGTGAGTGACAAGTGGAAACAAGATCAAGAGGTCTGCTGAAACAATAGAAAATTGCTACTAAAGCCTTTTCAAATTAGATATCACATTTTACTTTTATCACTGGCTATGTCCCTGGACCACCTGGCAGGCTGCCTACGAATAGGTGAAGACATGCAGGAGAAAGGAAAAAGGTAAGAAAGAATAACCCCTCAAGCTTACAAAACTGCATTCCATCTAAGTGGTAACTAAAAACTGCACATCTCAATGGCAGATTTCTGGATGACAGTTTTGGAGAAAAAACAACAAATGCTTTAAGTGTATACACTCTCCAGCAGAATTCCAGATTTGGAACTTGATTCTAAAGAAATAAATAGAGAAGTGAGTAAATATTTAGCTAAAAAGAATTTACACCACAGCATTCTTTATAAGAGTAAAAAGTTGAAAACAATCTAAATGACTCTAAGCAAAGACTAAACATGGAATGGATAAATTGCATATCACCATTAAAAATAATGCTGGAGAAATCTTTCCTTCACCAATGTTCTTACTTTATATTAAGTGAAAATACAGGTTACGAAATAATATGTTTAATGTGATTCAATTCTCGTCTGAAAATGTATGTGTAATTATATATGTAAAGGGAAAAATATATCTGGGAGGGGGTAGTGTTCACAGTGTTTATTTCTGGATGGTGGATTATAGGGACTTTATTCTTTTTTTAGTTGTATTTATGTTTTTAAAATAATAAGCATGTAAAACTGTAAAAAGCTTAAATAGAAGGGAATGCAGTGAAACTTCCTGTAAGTGAAAGAATCTTTTCATTATGCAAATAATCATACTTTTGCTTTTGCCCTAATACAGGGCATATCTGTTCCTTAAGAAGTTCACCAACTGATGGAGAATTAGCAGTTTCCATGGCTTCTGGTAGAGGCTGTTAGCACCGTCTTTAACCAAGAAGAGAGACACGTTTCAAGGGAGATCCTGTGTTTCTGCAGTAGAAGGTCTTTCCAAAATCACGTAGTCTCCTTCCATGGATTCAGTTATCGGGATGCAGCTTGGGGTCTGCTGTTTTCCAATTCTGAGAAGCAGTTTGAGCTCCCATTGCAGAGTGCATGGTGGGCGTCCACACACTGCAGCCTGGGCTTGCTGGGCTCTGCAGAGGGGCGCAGCCTACCTGTGAGCGGAGACCCCGCTGGGCTGGCGCAGAGGGTGAGCACTGGACAGCTCTCTGTCCCCAGCCATCGGCGTCTGCCCCTGCCTGGCTGTATTTCTTCTGAACACGCCTAAACCCTGAAAGACTACATTGGCAAAAATTCTTTATAGGTCAGTACTTCTGTTTTTGACAGGTGAACTTCCATTGACCTCCATGGAATTCTGCCTCTGTAAGCCAGAGTAATACTGCATTGTGCAAAAACACAGATAACAAGAATTGTTTCGTTAACTGGGTTGAAAGAAGTATCACCCTAATTCTTGATGTGCTAATGATTGCTGGTTCTTGACGGTGTTAATTTCCAAACTCCAGTGTGAAAAATGTGTTCATTACCCCAGAGGTACAGCATTAGCCTTTTTTTCCCTTTTTTCTTTACTTAATCCTAATATTAGTTGACATTTAGACTTTGGCCTAAATAAATAAATTAGAAATTTATACATTCAAAATATAGGTTTGATATTTCCCCTCCAGCTTTATTACGAAGCACATTTGCACAAAATAAAGTGTTTCATCTTAAAAATGGCATCCTGTCTTTCACGGGAGAATGGTAGTGGAATGAATAGCTTTTATCATATGTCTAAACGTCTTTTTATTTTAGGGGGAACGGGGCTTTTACTTACAGTGTGTACTGATATTCATTGCTAATGCTTCCTCAGAAAAAAATATCTTTCATTCTTCATTAGTTTTAATGCAAAAGAGAAAAAGAAGGTGTGCAAATACGAACCTGTTTCAAAAACCCGTGGGCACATAGTGGATGCATGGAGCCGCATTTTCTCAGTGGCAATCGCCCCTGTATCACACCTCTATTTGCTAGCACCTGCTTTTCCAAAAGCAGCCAATTGCTTAAAGTTCTTTTTATAAAAACTGCTTGTTAATCAGGGAGAGGATGTAGGCTAACAGTTGGGGGCTGGTTGAGGGGCTTGGAATATCAGAGCTTCTCCCCTAAGAATGTAGAAGGGAGGGTTTTTGACAAGTAAAAGTAAAGAATAGTAAAAGGTGAAGGAACACTGTTGGTCAGGCACAACTACCTTAGTTTAGCATTTTGGAAACTAAAGAGGGAAGAGGAAGAGTTGGAGTCACTTGTTCAAGATCGTCCTGCCTGAAGCGTTTCCCACCATGTCAAAGCTTTGCTCCCTAGCTCCACCCCACCTAGTTTGGCTAGAATCTAGGCCCCAGGGCTCATATTGTTGCTGCCTGTTCAATTCCCTCCAATAATCACAAATTGAATCTTACTCTGAGCAGATGGTCTCCTGGCTGCTGGGGAGGGCGTGGAGACTGTCCCTTAGTGGACGGACCCAGGCTTCAGACCAGCTGGACCAGACCCTTCGCTTTGCAGTCCTACTGCCGACCGACTATCGGATCCTGGCCAGGTGGTGGCCTCGCCGAGCAGATCCTCATCTGGACTGTGGGGATGATCACCACGCTGCCTGGAAGGATGGCGGTGAGAATCAGAAGGGACATAAACAAAGTATTTGACTCTCTGTGGTTGCTCAGGAATTGTAGCTGTTCCCATAACCACCTTCAGTTCTAAGATAAATTAGACATAGCCCCTGCCCTTCTGGAGCTGACAGTCAAGCGAGAAGCACTTTGGGGAAAGACAGCCTTAGGGTGTCTGCAGCTGAACCATCTATCTGTGACTGGATCAGCGACAACGTTCTTCTCAAACGAAACTGTACTGTGGTGAGGAAATTACTGAAATTTCCTATCACAGACCCCACGAAGGAGAAGGAGAAGAAAGAAGAGCCTGGAAATGGGACAAATTAGACATGATATATACCCCAAATTGGTTTCAGTAGCCTAATCTGGTTGCTGGGAAAATTCATCTATAAAACATGAGACCTTTTTTTCTCCTCTTAATTCATGAACAAACCCCAAAATGGCAAGGGATCACTTTGGAGCACAGTGAGCACGTAGCTACTTCCTCAAACCCTTTGTGCTTGTGTGTACAGGAGCATGTCTCCCTGCTGTGCAAACAACCTGCTGAAAAACTCAAATTTTGTTAATAGATTTCTTTTATAAGACATATAATGTGATTCTTTTCCCCACTGCTTTGTCTACATATCGGATAGAAATGGCTGGTAAGTGATTCATAGTGGTTGAACTGGTCTTGAGTGAACCCGTATTTCTTGCTACAGCATAAAGCAAAACTAAATCAGTTTAGCAGTTTTGAAAATTTTGTCTTATCTATCCACTTCTTTGTCTGAATATTTTTTAAAAATCTATAGGTGAACATATCTGTGCTTGGATTAGAAAGACCTCTACCCAGTCTTGGTTCTCCCTCAAGATTTCAAGGCCATCTAATCAGAAGCACAATTTCTACTAAGTTCTTCTAATTAGCAACTAGGAGCAAACTGATAAATTCCTTCCCCCTGTTCAAGCAAGAGGGAAGTTCTTGAACATGGGGAGGCACTGAGCCAGTTGACATATTTCTTTGCTTCCCAGCTCTACCTGTGTCCTTGTGGACTGTGAAGATACATAAATATTCCATTTTATTCATACATGTTGAGTTAAAATATTGAATATTCTACAGGCAATAGTGGCTGCAGAAGAAAAAGGAAATACTGTTTTTTGTCCCAAAGGTATTTAAAATCCAGCTGGAAAGACAAGAGTAACAGTGGTAGTCTACTTACAAGAAATAACATTTGAAAATTGAATTATTTATATGCCTTATATACTTATTTAATTCTAAAAATTAATTTTTAATTTTTTGTATCATTTAATCTTTGCCATCCAAAATCAGTGGTACTAAAATCAACATCAAAATGTATATTGGTAAAGTTCACAAAGCAAAATAAGTGTAAAAGAAATGTAAATAATAAAACTTTGAAAACCTGTATATTTGTAAGCTTGTTGTAATTATACATTTCAAGTTATTAAAGCTTAAAATGGCACTAAGACTTGTGGAGTATGACTAATAACGAAATGGTTATGCATTAGGAAAAGATGAGTGTATGTACACATACAGTTGTATGTGTATATGCATGTGCCCTGCCTCTGGCCACTGCAGGGGCCTTGAAGCAGACACTCTCTGTCCTGAAAATAATGAACACAGCTAGTGCCCGGACAGATTCTAAATACTTCAATTAAAGGAGCCAGGGCTCCTTAGAGAAATAACCTGATCTAAGGTTGGGGTAGGAAGTCTAGAATGCCATGCCAGAAAGTGAGGAAGAGTTTGAAGAATCAGGAGCACACATTGAAACGGCACAGACACTTGCTTGAGGGATCACCTGCCCAAAGCAGAGCAACCTGAGCACCAAAATATTGGATCCCTGCCTCTGAATAGAGCAGAAAGGCACAGGTATGCGCTGACATCAACAGACAAGTGGGGGAGGAGGGGGACGAGTGCTCATTCTGTGGTCTAATGCCAACTAACACGTGCAGGAGCAATGGTGGGTGTAAGAAACCACCCTCTGGCAACAATCCTAGTGGTAGGAGATTCACAGACTCTGCTTGAATTTTGACCACTGTCCCCATCAAGTCTCTTTTTTCTTTCTGATCTTATTTAGGGACATACATGACATTATTTTGTTGTGTCTTGCTACCTCCTTCAGTCTGGAATCGTTGCTCTGGGCTCTCCCCATCTATCCTGTCTGTCTCTCACTCCCTCCAGGAGCATAAGCCTTTCCTTCTCCAGGACAACCCGCAACCTGGGTTTTCCCGTGTCTGCTGGTGATGCTCTCTGGTCGCGGATGCGTGGCCGGGGCACACGAAGCAGGTCCTGGTTTTTCTCGGTGCCTCACGTCGGCAGGAACATACCGTCCATCCGTGCTGTCGTCTCAGCCTTGACCACCTAATCAGTGTGGTGGCTTCCGTGTTTCTCCACCCTGAATTCACACCCTTTTCCTCTTCGTGTTTGCCTAGAGTTTCGTGGGGAGATATTTCTCTGCTCTCCTGTCTGCCTTCCAAGTCCATGCAGTGCTTATTGCCCGGGAAATCCAGAGTGACGTGTTGAAATCACGACACGGCATGTTTTAGGGGGACTACAGTTGCAATCCTTTTGAGGTTGAGTGTGGCTGAGTCACTTTTGACTCTGTTCCTGGGAGGAAAATGACCTCGCAGAGAGTACAGTGGCCTCGTGCTCATGAGTTACTTGGAGCCAGCTGCCGCCTTCCGGGAGGGGCCGTGAAGAAACTCAGCCTGGAGTGTCCCTTCCCGGGGCTCCCAGGACTCTTCCTGTTTTGCACACTGGAGAGACAGCCTAGGGCTGCTGTCACTCAAGGCTTCCCAAGAACTGGCTCTTGTCATGAGATTGTTTTGGTTATCCTAATTCCTGACCTTTTGAATTGAGTCGAAGTTGTTTTCTTTCTCAACCTTGCAACACCCCTCAGCTGTTTGAGGAGAGCTTGCTAAGAACTGTTTGTTTTTCATTAACTCGTTTCTCTCTATTAGAGCCAACAGGAAAACAGAAGAGCGAAGGAGAAAGGGGTCCCTGTTCAATCAGCCTCATCAGACTCCCCCTTCAGGGCTCCGTCCGGCTCTAGCGTATTCACCACAGCAGAGCCTGGGAAAGCCGGGGTCCTGCCAATCCCTCTGTTACTTGTCAATGCCTCGTTGGTTCATCTGCCTAAGTCTGCAGGATGTGCTAGATGCCCGCACATGGTATGTCTTTTTATTTTTATAGCAACGCTGCAAGATATGGGTTGTTAACCCCGTTCAAAGCCAGGAAATTGAAGTTGAGAAAAGCTAAGTGACTTGTCCACGATTCTCCACCCGGAAAATAGTGAAACTAGTGAACAGTGAATCTTTCGACATCAGGTGTTTTCTATTCTCAGCGCCTGGTTGGGGGGAGTGGAGTGGGCTGTGGTTTGTGGCTCTGCTGGCCCAGATGGCTGAGGCCCAGGGCATTCGGCATGCCCAGCTCCACTCGCGGGGTCTCTGCCTGGAATCTCAGTCGGCATTCTTACTTCTCTCTCTCTCTTTCCTTGTGAATATACTTCTCTTGGGGGAATACGTGGGACAGAGGGGTGATAGGAATAGGGCTGGACTGAGACATAGCTATAAACATTGGCATAACACCACCGTGTAAATAAAATGCCCATTTATTTAAAGCTTCTGCTCAGTCTGAGAACTTGGAGAGGATGAGAAAGAGACATGATGTCTTTATGGATTGGAAGGAAAGGTAGCAATTATTTAGTAATTTCCCTCCTTTAGGCAGATAGAGTGTAATTTGAGGCTGGAGAGAGGAAGATATTTACCTAAATTTTACAGCTAATTAATGTCAGGGTCAGGATGTGAATCCAGATCTCCTGACCCCCTGAACACTGAGTATTCAAAAGTAAAACTAAATGTCTATAAATAGGGGAAGAGTACGAGGAACAGAATAATTTGGGAGCTTAAGGAATATTATAAAACACTGCTTTGAGATCATAATCCTTATACTATATAAGTAAATAATATATTTTCAAGAGGCTCCAAAGTCTCATGGAAAAATATAAAAACTTAAAAAATTACTATGTAAAAATCAACCTGTTGGCAGTATTGGCATGTCATGACAACGAATGTTTATTTCAAAAACAACTATATTGAGGTATATTTTTCATATCATAAAATTCCCCCATTTCAAATATACAATTAAATGATTCAAGGTGCAACCATCTCCATAAACCAGTTTTAGGGTATTTCTATACCCCAGTAAGATTCCTATTGCTCATTCACAATAACTAGTAATTACTGAATGCTTACTGTTGACTTATTGTTCTGAGTCTTTTGTCTTTAGTAACTTTCCGCAACAGTACTCTGAGAGGTGCTATTATTATCTCCCCTGTTTTACCAACGAGGAAACTAAGTCATGGAATGTTGTCCAGGATTTGAACTTGAAATATCTGACTTCAAAGCCTGTGATCTTTGCTACTATGCTCTTCTACTTACTCATCTAGAAAGAAACAGAGCAACTGTTTCTCGATTCTGTGTGCTGCTTTTGGGGAGTGGCACAGTCCTGGTTCTCTTTTTTATTAAGTACTCTTACATGCCATTAAGAACTTTTAAGTAATCAGTTGGTATGAAGAAGTCATTGACAAAGTCATTGCATCTCCAAAGGTGTAATCCTTTTAAACAAGGCATGGGCATGGGGTGTGTGCAAAGGAGGAAGAGGAAGAGAGTCCCGCTCCTGTCAGTAATGAATGCCAGTGGCTATACTTCTTCCTACACGCATGGACTCAGCATACCACACAAGGAGGCTGTGAAGAAGGGGTTAGGTGATCTGCCAACCTCAGGGCATGTAGCTGACCCCATGTGAACACTACGTCTTCTAGGGATGAGGCCTGGGCTAGAGGAAGATTAGTAAGATGCCATG